GTCGTCCCTGCTGGACGTCCCTGCTGGACGTCGTCCCTGCTGGACGTCGTCCCTGCTGGACGTCCCTGCTGGACGTCGTCCCTGCTGGACGTCGTCCCTGCTGGACGTCCCTGCTGGACGTCCCTGCTGGACGTCGTCCCTGCTGGACCCTGCTGGACCATGCTGGACCCTGCTGGACGTCGTCCCTGCTGGACGTCGTCCCTGCTGGACATCGTCCCTGCTGGTCGTCCCTGCTGGACGTCGTCCCTGCTGGACCCTGCTGGACCATGCTGGACCCTGCTGGACGTCGTCCCTGCTGGACGTCCCTGCTGGTCGTCCCTGCTGGACGTCCCTGCTGGTCGTCCCTGCTGGTCGTCCCTGCTGGACATCGTCCCTGCTGGACGTCGTCCCTGCTGGACGTCCCTGCTGGTCGTCCCTGCTGGACGTCCCTGCTGGTCGTCCCTGCTGGTCGTCCCTGCTGGACTCTGCTGGACCCTGCTGGACCCTGCTGGCCCTCGGCTCCCTGCACGGCTGACGCTGATCAACAACACACAGTGGAGCAGGTTAGTGCTCTGCCATGAATCTGTACAGAATATTTACAGCACTGGGCTCCTGCATGGCACTGGGGAGGAGGATGTGAAGGTTTACTCTCACATAAAGACAATACAATCAACATGGTTACACTCAAGTACAGCTTAGTAATACACATGTGGCGTCAGCACTATGAAGGAAGGAGGAGCGCTTCAATAATCATGGAGAACAATAAGGAGAATTATGGACTTTTAGCTTCCTGATGCTGTTCCTGTCCCAACAGGAGGTTAGAAAACGATCAGTTCTTCTCCATACATTCAGTCTTCTTTTCTTATTACACTAAAGAAATGTGCGTTTTTTCAAGTTCAGCACCACAGATGGTTCCTCCTGGTCCTGGTCCTGGTTTCTGTCCCACTCCTCTGGGGCGCCATATAAAAGTGTGTCTGCCTCCGAGCGAGGCCAATCCGTCTGACAGATGTGAGGCTCACAGGTCCTATTTCTTCTCTTCACTGTCTGCAACACAAAGACACAAACAGAGGTAACACAAAGACACAAACAGAGGTAACACAAAGACACAAAACAGAGGTAACACAAAGACACAAAACAGAGGTAACACAAAGACACAAAACAGGTGCTCAGGTCCAAAACTTCAGAACATCTTTACTGTTACCAGGAGCTGAAACAAAACCCTTCTGGGCTAAAAGGTTTCTGTTCTCATGTGGTTCTCATGTGGTTCTGATGTGGTTCTCATACGGTTCTCATGTGGTTCTGATGTGGTTCTCATATGATTCTCATGTGGTTCTCATGTGGTTCTCATGTGGTTCTGATGTGGTTCTCATGTGGTTCTCATGTGGTTCTCATGTGGTTCTCATATGGTTCTCATGTGGTTCTCATGTGGTTCTCATATGGTTCTCATGTGGTTCTGATGTGGTTCTCATGTGGTTCTCATGTGGTTCTCATGTGGTTCTCATATGGTTCTCATGTGGTTCTCATGTGGTTCTCATGTGGTTCTCATGTGGTTCTGATGTGGTTCTCATTTGGTTCTGATGTGGTTCTCATTTGGTTCTGATGTGGTTCTCATGTGGTTCTCATGTGGTTCTGATGTGGTTCTGATGTGGTTCTCATGTGGTTCTCATATGTTTCTCATGTGGTTCTCATGTGGTTCTCATATGGTTCTCATATGTTTCTCATGTGGTTCTCATGTGGTTCTCATATGGTTCTCATATGTTTCTCATGTGGTTCTCATGTGGTTCTCATATGGTTCTCATATGTTTCTCATGTGGTTCTCATGTGGTTCTCATATGGTTCTCATATGTTTCTCATGTGGTTCTCATGTGGTTCTCATATGGTTCTCA